TTCTTTTTTCTAAGTATGTATTTTTATAATCTTACCATTTACTATCTTTACCTTTTCAGTTACAAACTTAAATATGGAAATGGAATTACTACACAGAAGTGTCACAATTTATTTTGTTAGATATTTTCTAAAGTATATTTCATTTGAATCACTTATTATTATAAAAAAACATTAAAATGGTAATTTTATACACATGTTTCACATATGTAAAAGGGCACCTGTAGGGTTAATTCCCAGAAGTGAAATACAGGGTCAAAAAATATATACTTCTTTAACTTAGGAAGATCGTTTACAAATGTCTTCTATATTTTATTTTCATTCCAGTAATTTATGAGCAATCTATTTCTTCAAGTCTTATCAGAGTATTACATCTGAAATGTTTATGCTGATTAAACAGTGAAACAGATGCAACATTTTCAAACCAGAGACCTCTAAAATTTTGTTACCTTCATTAAAAAAAAAAAAAAAGTAGTCCAAAAACACAGACATTTAAGATTAAAAAAATACTTGTTATACACTTACCCTCCTTCTTCAGTTTGTTTATAAATATATCCTAGTAGATCTGCAGCTCTACCTGTTCCTTCACATACAACTACTGGCACTGGGGGATTTTCCTGAAGGTATTCTAAAACAGTGAGGATAACATTGGGCCCTCCTTCAAATACGAGTGCCACCACAGGGACACCTTGTCCAATTCCTGTTTTAAAAAGTAAAAGTTAAATTCTTTTGAGAGAGTAAAATACAGTAATTTAATCTTACTATCTACTCAGAAAAAAATAAAAGTGTAATTTTGTATATGTGTTGATTTCACTTTATCTTTTTTTTAGAAATCAAATATACAGTTTGATATAAACACATCAGAGAATTAATATAATCAATCAAAGTTAAAATGCTGTTATTTTAATTTTGCTAATTGGACTCTTTAAAATAACAAGAGGTTTTTTGTGTTTGGTTGTTTGTTGGTTTGTTTTTTTTTTTTTAATTATTTGTGTGTACCATCAAATCAGATCTGACTGGTA